ATATAGGAGGCTTGTCCCCACAGTTTGCCCCTTGGGTCTTCGGACAGGCAGCCTCCAGCCCTTCTTCCTTAAGATATAGGGCCATCTGGTACCTTGGAGGGACTGGCCCTAGAGCCTATGGAGGCATCAAGGGCATATTTGATGGCCCCAGAAGAAGTATCAGGGAGGAAATGACAGTCATTCTTAGCGAGCTCTGGGGGGCAGCTGGAAGGGCTAGGGCTGGCAGAGGTGGGGCCAGCACTTCCTTTTGCATTTCCTGCCATTGTTCCCCAGCCCACTTCCGGGAATTCTCCATGCCTGTCTGGGAGGGCTTTGCCAGCAAGCCAGGCTCAGGTGGTCCACCTTTACTCTGGGCATCTGGCCAGGGCTCCTAAGACCAGCTTCAGCCACACTGAGCTGTTTGGTTCCCTAGACTGCTGTCTGGGTTTCTGTTCTGCTGTTGGACCTGGCCTTCCTGTTGCCAAGGCCAGACATCTCAACTGTAGACACTGCCCACATATGGAGGGTCCTTGGGCTGTTTGCTTGTCAACCTACTTGATCAAGTCACACTGGTCTGCTGCCCAGGATTCCCATAAAGGGAATCTTTTACAGGGACTTCTGGATTCTGAGGACACTTTGGTCATCGTACTGGGGACAAGTCCTACTCCCATGATAGTCCTTAGGGTACACCTTCAAAGAGACCCTGCTTAGGAAACTACAGTGCAAAACTTCCTGCTGGCACCAGGGGACAGAGAAGCCCACATTCTAGAAAGCTTGACCTTTGTGGGACTTTAGAACCCTGGAATGCCTCCCTTTCACTCTTTCTTTAAAGAAATAAATGTGAAGCCAGGTGTGGCATGGCAGACACAAGCCTTTAATCTCAGCACTTGGCAGGGAGGGGCAGGCAGATCTCTGTGAGTTCAAGGTCAGCCTGGTCTACATAGTGAATTCTATGACAGCCAGACATACATAGTGAGACTGCTTCAAAAAACCAAAATAAAAAAAGAAATCTAAGAGAAGGACTGGGAAGATGGCTCAGTGGTAAAAACACTTGATGTTAAAGTGTGAGATCCTGGGTTCAAATCCTCAGAACACCTGTAAAGGTTGGATGCTTATTTTGAGCATCTGTGATCCCCATGCTCTTACAAGGAGACAGGAGGAAGAGGCAGGCAGGAGAATTCCCAGGAGCATGAAGAGAAGTTGGCCTGGAGTATGCAATAGAAAAGCAGTAAAAAGAGATCCTGCCTCAAATGAGGTGGGAGGTGAGGACCAACAATACAGCTGTCTTCTGGATGCAATGCTCGCACACACACCAACACAAACATACAAACGCTCCAACAAACATGCACACACACACACACACACACACACACACACACACACACACACGCACACGTCTTTCTAGAAAGGGAAACTAAGATGACTGAGAGCATGCCTGTCCTAAGAGGGTGCAAATACATGTATTTTGTTTCCAGGGAGTTTAATGATTATTTACATGAACTTACAAGTTATTTATTTATTTATAATTAACTAGTTAATTTAATGTATATGTGGGGAGCATGCACATGTTTCCATCTATGTGGGGAGTCTGGAAGACAACTGAGAGTGTCATTCTCAGGAGGAACGCTGTCCACCTCCTTTGAGACAGGATCTCTCACTGGCATGGAGCTAACCTGTTAAGCTAGCCTGGCTGGCCAGTGAGACCCAGGGGTCTTTCTGGTCCCCACTTCCTAACACTGATGTTACAAGCCTGTAACAACACACTTGGCATTTTTACATGAGTTCTGGGGATCAAACATGGTCCTCATACTTGCAAGGCACTCTGTTGAGCTAGCCATTGCTCATCCCTATTTATTTTTATGTGTGTTAAAATACATATACAAAATCTGCCATTTAAAACAATATTATCTATTATCTATCTATCTGTCTTCTATCTATCTATCTATCTATCTATCTATCTATCTATCTATCTATCTATCTAATTTATTTTTAGATAAGTTCTCATTGTGTAACTTTGGCTGGTTTGGAACTCCCTGTGTAGACCAGGCTGGTTTCAAACTCACGGAGATCTTCCTGCCTCTGTCTTCCTAGTTCTGAGTCTAAAAGTATGTATCATGATGCCACTGCATTTTAACACTTTTAAAATGCACAGTCCAGTGCAACTATCACACCCATCCATCTCTAGATTCTTTCCCTCTTCCAAGCAGAAACTTTAACCCATTACCCAATCTCTTCCTTTCCTCCCTCCCAGCTCCTGGCAACCACTGTTCTATTTTCTGTGCTTGTGGATATAACTAGGTACTTGGTAAACTGGGATCCAATGGCATTTGTCCTTCTGTGTCTTCAACACTAATTCTTTTATTATTAGTTTTGGACAGTACTGGGCACTGCACTAGTAGCCTCATGCATGTAAGGCAAGTACTCTATCAGGGAGCTACAGCCCCGTCTAGTCCAAGGCTAGTCCCAAGAGAAGTGTCAGGAATTTTTGATACTGAATAATATACCACCTGTATGCATATTTACTTTTGTTTGCCCATCCACCTACTTGACTTGGTTGCTCCTATCTCTTATTTTTGTTTATTTATTTTAAAATTTAATTTTGTTTTATGTGTGTATATATTTTGCTTGTATGAATGTTTGTGTACCACTTGTGTACCACTGCCAGAAGAGGCAGAAGAGGGCATTGGATCCTCTGTACCTGCAGTAACAGACAGTTGTAAACCTCCATGCACGTGCTTGGAGTCAAACTCAGATCATCTGGAAGAGCAATAAGAGCTCTTAAGCCCTGAGCCATCTCTCCAGCTCCTCCTCCACCCTACTGTCTTTAAAGACAATGTCCTGTGTATCCGAGGCTAGCCTCAAACTCAAAACTGAGGGTAGCCTTGAACTCACGATCCTCCTGCCTCTACACCCTGTTTGCTGGGCTTATAGACACAAACAACCATGCCTGGTTTATGAGGTACTGGGGATGGAACCCAGGGCTTTGTGCATGCTGGGCAAGCACTCTACCAACTGAGCTACACCTGGGCCCTTCTCATCTTCTAATGCTTGAGGAGTTGTTGCTTGAATTTGCTGTGCAGATATCTGGAGTCGGAAGTAAGGTTTGAGACTGGATTGTATGTCTATGTTTAATGTTCCCATAGCACCCCCAGTTCTGACCAGAAGCATGCCCAGCAGGGTTCCAATTTCTCCACATCCCTCTCCCTTCCCTCTTTCCTTCCCTCTCTCCTTCCTTCTTTATAATTGTCATTCCTATTAGTTACTTTTATTGTTGCTATGACAAAATGCCCTACAAAATAACTTAAGGATGGAAGGGTTGATTTTGGCTTGTGGTTTGAGGATGCAGTCCATCATGGCAAGAAGTCATGGTGCAGGAGCTTGAGGCAACAGGTCACAGTGCATCCATAGTTAGGAAGCAGAGAGAGATGCATGTTGGTGCTCAGGTCACCTTTTCCTTTTTATGCATCAGGACCCCAACCCATGAATGGAACATTTCAAGTGGGTCTTCCCATTTCAATTAACCCAGTCTAGAAACTCCCTCACAGATGTGCCCAGAGATTTTTCTCCTGAGTGATTCCAGATGCTGTCAAGTTGACGGTCAACATTAACCATTGCAAGTCTATCCCTGTCAACTTGACACCTCCATATATCCCTTTAAAGCCAGAACATTCCAACTCTTGTCCCTATAGGCTCCCAGTTTTCTTATAACGCAAATGTATTTTTAACACCATCCTAGTAGAGATGAGGTGGTGTCTCACCAGCGTAGAGTTTCAGAACTCAACCAATTAAGTCAAGATTGCAAGTTTCACTCCATGGGTCCATTTAAACCCATATGCTGACCATTGTTACAGAGACCAGGGAAAGAACTGTCTTAGATACTGGACTAGCTTTATTCATTTGGAGAAATAAGAAAAAAAGAAAAACCAATGATGAACGTGTCCCCGTAGCTTCTCCTAGGACTGATGAGGTTCAGTTACTTCCTAGGGAGCAAGCAGAGGCTGAAGCAGACTCCAGTGACAGGCTTTAGGTGACACAAACCACTTGCTGCCACTGCAGTGGGGGAAGAGTGGATGGTGCATGGTTTACAACCCAAGGAAAGGACTTTCTCCTCTGCACTCCTTGAAAGGCCTTCCTTGGACCATCCTGCCAGAGGCCCACTCTTTCCCAAGAGCTCATTCTCATAGTGGTCTCTTCTCTCAGTGAGAAGTGTGGTCTCAGGAGTGTGTGTTGGATGTCTGGTGAAGGGGTCTGTCTCCCAGACCCAGAGTTGTTTTCTCCCTGGGTCTGAGGACAGAATGGGTCCTTGCATCTAATTCATGATTGGTGCTGTGCTTCCTGGGAACTTGTGTGACAGTCTGTGTGACGTGGGTTGCAGCCTATTGAGGTATAGGGGCAGCAAAGTTGTGAAGATGGGGTAACCGCCTCTGTCTTCTAGTGATGCTGGCCTGGTTAAGGTCTGATGGCAGGACTGGGCGTGTGACTCAGCTGAGAGAGTGCTTGCCTAGTATGCATGAAGCCACGGGCTTGATCTCCAGCACTGTATAAACCCGATGTGGTGGGGGACACCTGTAATCTCAGCACTTGGGAGATAAAAAGGGAGGGTCAGAAGTTGAAGGTCATCCTCAGCTACACAGCGAATTTAAGGTCAGCTTGGGCTACATGAGATCCTATCTCAAGTAAGTAAGTAGGTAAATGGTCTATCTGATAGGAAGATGCTTCTACTCATGGCAGCAGTATGGCTAGGCTGAGGCTGGACAGAAGGAGGTCAAGGTTGAGCTTGGGGAAAAGCAGGACTCTCTGATCTCTCTCTTCTGCTTAAGTGTTTTCTTCAGGTGTCTGCTCCCCCTAAGATGGCACTAGGGGAACCATCTTACATGGGTACCATAGATACATGGAAAGCCCTAAGAGTCCCAGGGAACTGGTGCCCCTAGGTAGATGGGCTGACTGGGTGGTGGGGGCAGTGGGAGAAGATCCAGGCATATTAGGCTAGTTTTCACCATTGACCTTCTTTGTCTTCTCAGGTTCCTTGGGGAAGCCAAGATCCCACTCCAGGAAGTCCTTGCTACTCCCAGTCTGTCTGCCAGCTTCAACGCACCTCTGCTGGACACCAAGCAGCAACCCACCGGGGTAAGTGCCTGCACTCCTCTGCCCATAGCCACCTTCTGTTTGAGGCCTGGTGGCCCTCCCCGTGTCTATGTCAGGGGCCAGCTCCTGGGAGCTAAGCCTGCCTCTCCTTGGCTATGGCTTAGTGTGCCAGAAAGGACTCATGATTGGGACCTGCAGGGCTCAGTGAAGCCTGCCACACCCCAGCTTGGCAACTTCTGAGTCTGGCTCATCTGTTCACCTCCTGTTCTGCGTTCCAGTCACCTCCTTAGTCTGTCTGGCAGACTGCCCTTCTTCATTGCCAGTCCTCTTCTCCAGATGGGGAGTGCCTGAGTCATCTGGGCCACAGGTCACAGGAGAGGGAGGCAGACAACTCTCCCCTGTCCTCCTGGGGCCAGTCGGGACCCCTTCCTTTTCCTCTCTTGTTCTTATCGTCCCTCCCCCAGCTTTCCCATGCTCTCCTAGTCCACACAGCCCATTCCCAGTCCTCCTTGATGGCCTCCCGTTATTTTTAGTGGTCTAAATATACCCTGCAGGATTCTTCCTGGTCACTAGAACTCTGGGTCTGCCTACATGCCAGGACACACAGGTGCACTGCAGATCCGGACATGCTTCTTCCCAGTGAATGAAGCCTGTGGGACTGTGGGCTATTAGTCTCCTCATAGGAAGGCTCTGTGTGTGTGTGTGTGTGTGTGTGTGTGTGTGTGTGTGTGTCTGTGTCTGTGTCTGTGTCTGTGTCTGTGTCTGTGTCTCTGTGTGTGTTTGAGTCTTTGACTTGTTGGGAGAGTCAAGAAGGAGTTAGTTTGGGCTGGAATGAATGGGACCACACTGGGTTGTCACTGGGAAAAGAGAGCAGCTGGGGTCCCAGTGAACAGATGTGCAAATGGGGATACCACCACAGTTCATCTTAAGACTCTCTGAGAGGAAGGTTCTTGAATGGCCCTAGTGTCTGTATTCCTGAACTTGTTCCTGAGGCATCCTAGGCCAGGGATGCCACTCGCTTCCTTCATGAGTATGATTCCCAGGAGAATACAATCCTGCCCCAGGTAATGGCCTTCCTTCTGGAATTCCATCTTGCAGTGGGTGGTGTGCAATGATGGCTTTTTTGCTTTGGTGCAGTATTTTCCGAGATGGTCTCAGTCACCTCCTGAGTCACCCCTTGCCTCCTCTTTGAGCTCCCCAGTCAGCTAGCACTACCTTTAGTCTAGGAGGCTTTTGCAGCTGACTCTTCTGGGACCCTCGAGGAGACTCCTAGCTAGCTCTGCAGCCTGGAGCACCAGCGAGTGGAGAGACTGTGTTTTCTGTGAAGAGCAGCCCTTGTAGTCAGGGATCTTTCTGTTGCTTTCCTGTAACCTCCAAGGCCAGAGCTGTCTCCTCCCCACAGCCTTCAACCAAAGAGTCTTACTTCCATGACAAGACGTCTATGTTTCTCCACTCCAACCTCCAGTGTCCATGACACTGGTGGTTTCTGTACTTGCCCCTCCAAGCTCATTCTGTCTGGGATGGAAACTTTCAGCTGGGTTTCTGTGTACTGGGCTGTGGAAGGCTGTCAGTCATCTGCATTCCCCACCCTTGCTCTGGCTCCCATACTGTGTGTATATTTCATGCTTACTAGCCGAGACAATGCTGCCCCCCTCCCTTGGTCTGAGACCCCAGGCTGCCAGTGGAGCTTGGGCTTGACAATCCTTCCCCAGCAATAAACTCTGAGTACGTGAGATCCATGAGGTAGTGGATGGGAGAGGAGGACTGGACCCTGCTCAATGAGCCACCAGATAAGTCTTCACAGAGGTGGACAGAGGTGAGGAGTGGCAGGGAGAGGTAGGGAGAGGCCCGGGGAGGCTTGGGGAGGCTGGAAGAAGCAGTGAGAGGTAGGGAGAGGTTAGGAGTCCTCCTTCTCCTTGGGATGAAGTCTGCACCTCTTGGAGAAGGTCCAGCAACAGACTTCATCCCTATGACAGCAGTGACATCCCAGTACAGCATAGGCAGGTGGAAAGAAGCTCTGAGCTGGGGTTTCTTGCTGGGACATGCACTGTTTGGTGGAAGCCATTTGCGCCTGTCTCTAGCATAATTAGCCGCCAGCAGGTGCACAAGATTTTTTTTTAAATGAAAGCTTAAATTAACGGAAGAATGGACAAGCCAAATTCATTAGGTAGGGCTGTCATTTTCTGTTGGCAAATGTGGAGCTGGGCTGGGCTGGCCCATTCAGGTACCCTCCCAGGGATGGATCTGAAGGACCCTGGGCTTGATTTAATTCTCTGCTGCTACCATCTTGAAATTCTAAATAACAGTTTTAAAAAGGTCCTCCTTCATATTTTATTTTTCACCAGGCCTGAACCTGTCTAGGGAAGCCCGTGTGATAGGTGTAGATTTTTATCTCTGCTGAGTTCAGTTCCTAAGGTGATGGCAGGCAAATCCCCATTTTCTTACCCTGTCCCTTCCACCAGTCTCTTTGTGTAGCCCTGGATGGCCTGGAACTCATTGTGTAGATCAGACTGAACTTGAACTCAAAACTCAAAGAGATCTTCCTACCTCTGCCTTCTGAGTTCTGGGATTAAAGGTGTGCTCCACTATGCCTGGCTCAGATTTCTTTTATTTTGAAATGGTTTAAGAGTAGAAGCTGGGATGGGGAGATGGCTCAGTCAGAGAAGTGCTTGCTTTGCAAGCATGAGAACTAGAGCTCCACCCCCAGAACCCACATCTCATAAGATAGGTATGATATGTTTGTCATCCTAGCACTGGGGAGATGGAGGTAGGTGGATCCCTGGGGTGTACTGATCAGCTAGCCTAGCCTAATGGGTGAACCCCAGGCCAATTAGAGACACTGTCTGAAGAAGCAAGATTTATGGATTCTGAGGAGTGATACTTTAGGTTGACTTTGAACACCCCTCCTGCCCCACACCTGTTCTCGAATGTATACACACACACACACACACACACACACACACACACACACACCATTATTGTCACCACCATCACCACCAAAGAAGTGGTGTTTAAAGTATGGTAGTTTAAACCTGTAATTCCAGCACTTGGGAGCCCAAGGCAGGAGGATTGCTATGAATCTGAGACCAGCCTGTCATATATAGTAAAATTAAGTCCAGTCCAGAATAGAGAGCACATAATGAGAGATCCTGTCAGAGAGTGGGAGCTAGAGAAGCTTCCAAGAGTAATTCAAAGTGCTCTGTCCACTTGAGGCTGAGTCACCACCTCCTAGCCCATCACCCTGGACACCAAAGTGTGTTTTTCTGAGTTTAAACACTTTCTCCTGTAGGATAGCTTTCTAGCTCACAGACCTCCTGGAGGCTCATCAGTCGTGTGTGTTGTATGTACTTGTTCATGTGTGTCTGTGTGTACCGGTGGAGGCCAAAAGTTAACGCTGAATTGTCTTCCTTCTTCACCCTCCACCTGATATTTTGAGGTAGGGTCTCTCAGTGAACCTGGAGATCACGGATGTGGCTGGGCTGGCTTACTAATGGGCTTCAGGCATTTCCCTGTCTCTACCCCACCGGGACCATGGTTAGATTGGCATGTGCCACCATGCCTGGTTTATGTGATGCTGGGGATTCAGCCCGGAGCTTCATGCATGTTATTGGGACCTGAACCCAAGTTCTCTGGAAAAGCAGCAAAGGCTCTTAACCTCTGAGCCATCTCTGCAGCTTCTTTTTGTTCTTTTGATGTTTCTGTAATTTATTGAGAATTTCCTTAATTTCCCAAAACAAAAAGATGGTCTAGGCTTATCTTGTACAGTTAGTCTTCTCCGAAGAGCCCAGCTTGGCTTTTGTTGAAGTAGAGGACAGATAACCAGTTGTGAAAAATTCAGGTGCCCGGGTTCCCTGAATGGGTTCTTCAGCCCATAAGAGGGAGGACACTGGGGCCTAAGAGGCAGTTTCCCTTCAAGTTACCTGCTGTCAGCATTAATACTGTCTGCTCGAGTGGCGACACCTAGTGGTAACTTCCAAACATGCAGGGCCAGTAACATCCAAGCCTTGAATGTGGGATTTAAAGGGTGCCAGGTTCCTTTGGGCTCTTTCCTCAGTGAGTTCCAGTTGTTGCCTGTCCTGCTTTTGTTAGTCTGTCTTTCCCCGCCATGGCCTCCAGTCTGTAGGATGAGAATGTGAGAGGTGGATACAGTGGGAGCTCAGGCAGGGTTTGCCCTAGGAGTCTGGATGCTCTCCTCACTATGGATGTCTCTACTATTACGGCCAGTATTCCCTGCTGGAGTCATTCAGATGAAGATTACATTAGTAAACATTTGTAAAGGATTTGCTAGAACCTTGGGAAATTCTTGCTGTCTAACACTGAGCAGCTAATTACTTGTTTAAAAGATTAAGGTGATGGGGCTGGAGAGATGGCTCTGAGGTTAAGAGCACCATCTACTCTTCCAGAGGACCTGGGTTTGATTCCCAGCATCCACATGACAGCTCACAACTATCTCTAGTCTCAGGGTACAGCTCCCTCTTTTGGCCTCAGTGAGCACTGAGCACACATGGTGCACAGACATACACACAGGCAAAACCCCTGTACATGTAAAATAAAAGTGAATACATCTTAGAAAGACAGAGGGAATTACATCCACATGGGAGGAACCGGAGGACACTGACAATTCTCTTCCATGATTTTTCCTTCCAGGGCTGTCTTAGTTTCTTTCCCTGCCGCTGTGATAATGCACTCTGACAAAGGCAGCTTGGGGTTTATTTCAGCCCACAGTTAAAGGTGCAGTCTCTCATGGACATGAAGTCCAGGCAGTGGGAGCTCGAGGCTGGCGGTCACACAAATCCACAGCTAGGAAGCAGAGGTACTGAATAGCGAGCTCAGCCAGTTTTTTTCTTGGCCCCAACCCCAGAGAACGATGCTACTTGCATAGAGTGTCTTTGCACCCAGATTAACCCAATCAACATAGTCCCCTCAGATGAACCTAGAGGGGAAATAACCCCTCCCAGGTGTGCTTTGGGCTTGTCTTCTAGATGATGCTATCATAAGAGGTTTTGTACTGTCTTAAATGGAGCACTTATGATTTGGATCTGAGGGTAGGTAGGAAGGTGAGAGACAAGTTCTTGTATATATAGGCTGGGTTTGAACTTATGTAGCTGAGGATGACCTTGAATTCCTGGTTCTCCAGCTCCACCTCCCGAGCTCTGGTATTGCAGGGTCTACCACCACACCCTGCTTTTGCTTGGGCTTTTTCCAGAAAGGCTTCTCCTGGCCCTGGGGGAGACTGCCAGGCCTCTGATGGCCCAGAGCTGCCAGGCTAGCAGTCAGTGAGCTCTTCTGGCTTCTCCTTGGGCTCAGAGCCTCATCTGCCTATGGAAAGTGAAGTTGTCAGGGAGGAGGTGAAGTGTGACCCCAGGCAGTTGTATCTGCCCACATAAAGGGTGTGACCATTGTCTCTCCTCTTGTGTGAGGATGTGGCAGGGACAGAGCTTCCAGGACAGAAGAGGGTAAGATGATGAGTGGTACCCAAGGGTGAGCTGCGGTTGGAGCAGAGCAGCTAAACTGTCTATATGGGGTGGGGGTTGATGGTGAGCAGAAAGCTGGGGACTTCTTCCCGGAACTAGACAAATCCTGTAAGAGAGGTGGGGTCGCTCATCCAATTTCAACTTCATGAGACAAGACCCTCCCTCTTTCTTTCTTCCTTTCTTCCTTCCTTCCTTCCTTCCTTCCTTTCTTTCTTTCTTTCTTTCTTTCTTTCTTTCTTTCTTTCTTTCTTTCTTTCTTTCTTTCTAATGAGGAAGCCAAGCTTCTGTGAGGTTACACAGCTTGTCCAATGTCATACAGCTCCTGAGTGGGGGAACCGGACCCAACGATGTACCTGTAATTGTCTGGCAGTGCTTGCAGATTCCTGGGTGGCTTTACTACACTTTCCTGCAGCCCCACCCTGTTAGAACAGAATGCCTTGGAGAGGGATGGGAGAGATAGAAAGAATGCTGGAGGGAGGGTGTCATTTCTCCTGCATACTAACCTGTTGCTAACCCATCTCTTCTAGGCCTCGCTGGTCTTGCAGGTGTCTTACACACCACCCCCAGGTGCTGTGCCCTTGTTCCCACCACCTGCTTCTCTGGCACCCTCTCCGACACTCCCTGACATGGACTTGGTGGCTGGTGAGGAACCCACCCACACCCTACCCCCTGATAGGGCAGGATCCCCAGAAAGATGGCCAACAGGTCTCCTTAATCCTGGGGTTAGGAGATGGCTAGTATGGAGACAGAAGTTGTGGATGGGTGGAAAAGAAGAGGCAGGAGACAGCTCCCTAATGAGACTTAGGATGGAGACCCCACTCCCCAAATCCCAGATGCCTGGGAAGGGCAGGGTCCAGGCTATACTCTCCATTGCACAGCTGAGTGTGACCTGAGCCCTAATGCTCTCTGCCTGACACCCCACAGTGATAGAATGTAACAAAAGAGCTTCTCACCTCACCCCCACCCCAGGAAAGAGTCTTGAGCCAAAGTTAAGGGACATGAGTTTCCATCTTGCCTTTGACTCTGAGTAGCTGTGTGGCTTTGGGCTGGTTGTTCTGGGCAGATAGATGCCTATATGTGAAATGAGCAGACTCAGTGAGTTGGCTAGGTTCTTTGCCTGCCTCAAGCTTCTGCTAGGCTTGTCAAGTGAAGATGTAAGCTGAACAGCCTGATTTGCCAGTGATGCCTGAAAGCTAGCCTGACGTCTGGGCAGCACAGGTTGGAAGCAGCTGAGACGAGACAATGAGTGCTTGCTTAGGGGAATGTTCTGGAGTTTATAGTCTGGTGAAGTGGGGGCAGAAGCAAGTTATCAAAAAACATGAGCAGCCCTTGCCCTCCGTGGGTAACCCGAAGCCTGTCTTGTTAGCCTGTCCTGTGTGGGTTTCTGTGGAGAGGAAGGTAGAGGGAAGTCTTGTTGACTCAGCACCGTCCAGGCCTGGAAATCACTGGACTGGGAATCCTGAGCTGGAGAGAGCTAGCTGGGCTAAGCTCATGGAGGAAAAGGGCTGCTTCAGGGGGGTGGGGGGGGGGCAGGT